CAGAGGGTGACCGAACCAGAGGTAATACAACCGTCGTGATGAATTGTATGTCTGGATGGGGTGATTGGCTCTGCATTATGGGGTCAGAGGTCAGGAAAGAAGTCGATAGTTGTCAAAGAACATCAGCAATCTTGTTGCAATGCAAATAAAGAAAATGCAACTTATAAGTGTGAGATGTGGGCAACTCTTTATAATGAACATTAAATTCTGAGTTAAAGCGTGTTTGACATCCAGTGAACAAAAATGTGAGGGTGTTTTTCTATGAAGAGAGTGCAGAATTCAGATGAAAGAGTCTATATTTGATGGATCCAAGGCTAAACTAAATGTCATGTAGAGAAGATGCATAGAAAAAGCAAAAAGCAATGGAACAACATGCAAAGATAATATATATATATATATATATATATATATATATATATGTATATATATATATATATATATATATATATATATATATATTTTGTGTGGTTGTTTCCGTGTCATTTCTTTTTTAAAGTCATTTCATATCTTTATTCTACCTCAATGTACAAAAATACATGGGCGAGTAAATTCATACCTGCCCTATTTCTGGGAAAGGAAATTCTTCCATCGGCGGAACCTTCGCTTTGATCCTCGTTAATTAGGATGCTCAGGGTATCTATCGGAGGCTCCAGGTCAAAGACTGTATTTATTTTAGCGACCAAAAACGTCAAGTTCTTATATTTTAAGGTAACTTTTGCAGTTGCTGGTTTCAGAGCTCCCACCCCCACATGAAAATAATCACACCCGAAAATAACAGCAGATGGAAGTGAATTCTGAGTTAAGGTCTGTCCGTTATGTGTGAAACTCTCCTGCTGTGCATAGAAAGGGACACTTGATTTAGTGGTTTTAACTCCGAGGTGTGAAGCTTCTGGTCCAACCCGTGACTCAAAAAGTTCAGGGGATCACAAGGTAAATGGGAACCTGAGTGGAGTGCTGATAGGTTTATGTAAATATGAGACAACAAAAAAGTAAGATTACAAATGCCAACTTCGTGATGTCCGTAAAGTTAAAAAAAAGAAAAAAAGTCAGTAATAATTCTCCTACGGTGATCATAAATATCTGTGGAAAACAAATCAGATGGCAATCAGAATGTGTAGTTATTTTGATATTTGAGTCTGCACCAAAGTAGCGCACCAACTGACCAACTGACATTGTCCATTTTGTTTACACGTCATGCTGCACCCCGGTGGTGACTGCCACTGGGGTCAAAGGTCGCGATGCATCTTACTCAGAGAGTGTGTCATATAAATTCCGTAACGCGGCCCGAGCATCTGAGCTCAACAATGACAACAATAGAAAATAGAAGCTTGGGGGGGGGGGGGGGGGGGTCGGCGCAAAAAGCCTCTACAGGATTTGGTGATCTACCGTCAGGCATCATACAAACGCTGCCTTCCCAAACCTAAGCCAGAGGTGAAATCGGTGGTTGCATAAGAGGTCGGTCACTAGAGGCGCAGTAGATAAAACTGACAGCTGGGTGAAGCTGTGTCGTCTTTCAAAAGGGGTGAGAAGTGCTGCTCTTCTCCCCAACGTTTGATTTACTTCAGCTAAGGGATTTAAAAATGAATTCTGAGTCAAAGCAGATTCTGAAGATGGAGCGAGGAAGGTTGATTTTCCACCCTACTTGGACATTTCTTTTGTATGGGTTCCTATTGATAGTCAACGACATTAATGAAGAAAGAATCCTCTGTAAAGCTGCCATTAATGTTTTGAGAAAATAAAATAGAGAGAAACAGAGAGAAACTGAAAGCATTACGGATGTACAGCTACATGGGAAATGTAAATTGGTCCCTCATTGTGTGAAAGTCAGATTGCTCAGTTGAACGCGGCTAAATGACAAATAAAATATTTCAAGTGTTTGGTCATAGCGGGGTTTTTTGAACTCCAATCTGGAGGAGTTCAGCACCATGGACAGTTCCACCAATACACTGCGCTTGGTTGCTGGGTGATACACACAGGGTGGGTGGGGAAGTGGGAAAAGTATTGTACAAATGACTAACACACTGTTTCTTTCATTCTTTTCACAGGATTTTTTGACAGTAGGAGAGAGATTGAATATTGATGAACACAACACTTCTTCAAAATTATTTGATCCGAACCAACTTTTAGACTAAAGAATTGTATTACGGCTTGTTGGTATCACACAGTATATAAAACAAAGCTCAGGACTAACATAGATGAAGATGTACAAAAATTGTATGAGAAAGCTCCTTGCTAAAAAGTCAGGTCCATTGTGGATTGTTTCTCAGCTCTCCATCTTTCACCTGCTTTTCAGCACAAAATACTTGTAGCCACCAAACGTTGTGCATCTCATTTCAAAAGTCTAGTAGATGATCTTGCAAGATCTCGCAGCATCTCATTCATTCACATCGCTCATGACGTCCACCTTGATTGTCCCGGTTGCTAAAGCTTGCATTGCCCCGAAACCGATCATTTGTAGGATTTCCGGGCATCTTTCGGTGATCGCCACAGAGCTAAAAGCTAAAATGACAACTGTCGGTCACGCAAAATCTAACCTGTTACTTTGAGTGCGCAGTGATATGGAACGCTCGGGTCAATGTGAACAGCAACTGTACATTATCGCTCAATAATGCACCCCCCGTGACCCACTGGGTTTCATCTACCCGTATTGAAATGTATATTACAACATTGAAGGATGGTATTTATGTATTTGATTTACATTGCATGTTACAAATCTGTATTTGCCCCAAAAAAGGGAACAGCGAGCTAGAGCAGGAGGAACACATCAAGCAACATTTTGAGTCCTTTAAAGTCAACTGACGCCTCACACAAATGCGCTTATGACCTCCTCATTGAAGAAAAATAGAAAAGAAGAACATCGCAACCTCACAAGCCAAGAACTCAGAGCCACGCAATCGAGACGAGACTGGCACTTTAGCTTTGAGCAAAAAAAACATTGTGTACAACAGGCATTTTTTTATATCGAGTTTTCTAAAATTGTAAAAATGGATGTAAAATTGTATATATGTGAAAATTAACTTAAAGCTATAAAAAAGGTTTAGCCACAGGCCCCAATAACCTTTTACACATGCAAGAGGCAATAATAATTGTAGTGAATGCGATAAATCTCAAGAGAGCTACAGAGGTGAAATTACATCAATAAACCTGATTTGGTCTACAGGTCATTTGCATAAACGTGCCCACGGGCCACATAGAATCAGTCCTCTCTCTCATTAGTGTTAGGCAATAATGATATATTAGAATAATACCAAGAAAGGGCTTATAAAAAGGGGAGATCAGCATGGAATATGATCCGGTACCGTCTGGTTTTTATTTTTTGTCTATTCATTTATGGCCCTTAAAATCCCTTCATTGTGAGGTCTTCTGATCAAATGCAGTTTTTGTGGATTTACGGCTTTCTTGGTACGACTGTGTTCTTAAGCCTCACACTGCACAAGTAGAGGTCATTTATTCCTGAAAACATGCTGTGTTTTAAACGAGATGACGCAACAACAAACACGGGGGGGGGGGGGGGGAGGAGAACACAGCATCTTGTAGCTTTGAAGTAGGAAGCGGATCAAATCCCCAAACGAAGCAAATTGCCCGTCTCTCCCACCGACTGAAGGGATCCAGACAATCCCTTCCTGTCTCCATCCTTCATGGGAAAACAAACAGAGGATCTTCGTGTTTTACTCAAGTTCTCAAACACACTGTTTACTAAGGGAAACATAACGTGATTGCATTCATGACATTTGTGAACATATATAGGGGTACATGTTGAGAACAAATATCCAATTCACCCAACAGATTGACTCAGGAAGGAGCGTCGTGAGTCAAGAGGATTATTTAACCTCAACTGGAAAGAGAATAGGACGATAATGAAACTATTGGAGACGCAGCTCTGTGCCACACTGCAATAAAGTAATAACTCCTTCTGAAAAAAGAGCCGACTAAGCAACAAACTTTTTGAGTTTCGTACTTCTTCCTCCATTAGAAGTAAATGCAGCAGGCAAAGAAAGATGATGAAAGCTTTGCTTAAATGGGCCCAAATGTACATCGGTACAACAGTGTTCTAAGAAACACGCACACACACACACACACACACACACACACACACACACACACACACACACAAACAGTAATGTCATTTTGCCTCCCGAAAGTATAAAGAATCTACTCTTGCACTTGCTTTAACGGTGTTAACTTTATATAGAATGTTAAGATGAGTTATTTTACCATCACAGGTGGAGGAAAAGGCGGTAACTGTTAAGTAACCAAGTCACAAAGTGGGTTTTGTTATTTAAAAACGCCAACTAATCCACCAAACTATTTCAATTAAGAATGACCAGAGGCAATAGAGAGTAGTACCGCGTGAGGGAAAAAAGTTGTACAAAACTGCCTCAATCGATGTAATTTGTAGCAATATCAATAGATGGAAGTGAGTTTATTAACCCGGTAGCACGCTCCTCATCCCTGACAGGGACTAACAGCCCGAGGCTACATTAGCTGCTACAAGCACAATATTTCCTGTTTATATTTTTGATTTTAAAACTCAATTTAACATATTTCATTAAAGGTTTCCTGCAGGCCAGTCAGTGTAAGGACCCTTTAGAAAAGACGGTAAGCGAGACAGTTGAAATATGAGGCTGTCGTGACCCTGTGCACGCCACACGCTCCCTATAGAAGCAATTGTCTCAGTTTTTGCTGCCCAGGTCAGTGTGTTTGTCTGTCTCAGTATATTGGACACCTGAGTGTGATCATTAGAAAAAGTTGGAGTGCCCACGCGGGACCACAAAAACTGGTACATGAGAGAGTCGGTTATCGTCAAGGGAGAACGAAAAACTAAAGCATGTCAAACTAATTTAAGAAATCAATACCCTGTCTTGTGTAACAGAGGAACTACTCGTAGCTCTGGGACATACGAATTGAATTTGAGAAAAAGTACATACGTGGCCCCGTTTCACAAAGCGGACAGTGTGTTCGCACGGACGTGGTTTTATGTTGCATTCATTTGAACTCACCCTGAAGTCAATGCCCACAGTGGAGATGAAGCTGCCGGCCAGGAAAGCTCCGTCTTTAAAACGGACCAGTAGACACGTTTTTCCCACACCGGAGTCCCCAACCAGCATCACCTGCACAGAAACACAAGAGGGAAAAAGGAACACAGAGGGGTACTGTGTTAAGGTATGTTATGTTAATGTAATACTAGCTTCTAATTGTCTGTCCTCGGGAAATAAAAGCAGCACATTCGGATCGTTCAGCTAAATCCGTCCTGTTATTTCGGTACGCGGCCAGTGAAGAGGGTGTATGTGAATGACTTATCCATGGTTTGTTGATGTCCTTGGATCCTTCCTGGAACGACGTGAACATAACCATCTTTGATATCCTGTGCTCCATGCAGGGATGGATACATACAAAACAGGCTTTGGTGCTTCGGCTTTAACTGCGATCTGTGATTAAGTTAAAGGTTTGATGTGATTACTGTTATCTTCTTAGCTGTGGGACTGTGATGCTCCAGACCGTAACAATCAAAATTGCCTCTTGGGTGCACAGAAGGAGCAGCAGAGATAAAAGTCAGAGGAAGAAGACAGAATGGAAAAGGGTAATATGTATGAAGGTCTCACTCACTAATTCAAACTTTTCTTTTTCAAATCTCTGTCAGGTTGTCTTTTTTTTTTTCACGCCCTTTCAACAAGAGAGCTCTACATTAGCAGAATGTTTGCCGTCTGCAACAGTAGGCACCTGGTCTCTCTCTCTGCACTTTCAAAGTAGACTATAGCGTCCATTGGGAACGCTGAACAATGGGACAATGAAATCACCTTGAACCCAACACAACAGCTGGGACTATGAAGAAGCAACTTTGATTGATCACTATTGGCGGCAAACATGGCGTGGAGAAATGTCCATCGCCACAATTAACCATCCAATCGTTGTGCAGAAGGAGCTTAGCGAAGACCGTATGCCCCCACATCACACAGAGGCTTCAGACACATGAAGTGGGGCGCACAAGTCCCTTGAAGCTCAGAGTAAACACACATAATCAGTGCGTGTGAATGTGGGGAGGTGACAGTTCTCCACTGTGGTTAGGTGAAGCACACAAATCACTCACTGCTGATGCAAACCCAGTGCAGTGTGCTGCAGGGACACACACATGCATGCATTCATTCATTCATTCATTCATTCAACCAGTTGCACGGCGGCGTGCACCCTTCCGAAGAGCGATTGTTTATTGACACAGCTGGTGTCAGGAGCTCGCTACTGCATTAAAGAAAAGTGGTTGTAAAGCCAGTGAAACGACACTGACACACAATGAGACCACAAAGAGATTCAGCACATGCATATTTTCTAACACTCCTTCCCCAAAAAAGGTAAAGACGAGACAAAAAAAGTGTCCATATGATAATCCAACGTTAGTCCTGTGACATATCATTGACGTCAATCAATACCTCGCATTCGTTATTCCTCAGCTGGTCGAAGTGTACGACGCCGGACACTAAAGCCCACCCGTGTGCGTGGTGCAGTTTGCCGTCCTACCTTGAAAGCGATGTCATAGAAGTCGCTGCTGCAGCTGACGGAGGGTCTGATGGGATGGACCACGCCGTTCATCTGGACGATGGCCGGGCTGCTCCTCGCTCCTTTCCCGGTCCCTTTGCCGGTGAGGCTGCCCGCGGACGGGCTGCTGGTCGCGCCTTTGCCTTTGGCAGACTTCTTGCGAGACATTTCTCAAGATTAATAAAAAAGAAGTAGAAAAAAAAATCTTTGTTAAGGTTGCGTGAAAAAAAAAAAAATCCTCCGAGGCGCCTAAAAGTTGCTGCAGCGACAAACTCCAAATCGGAAATTTGTTTTTCACCTGCGCGAGGAACGCATGGTCCGACACCTCCTCTGCTGGGAGTAAAAAGGGGAGACGCTCGTAACGCAACAAAAAAGAAGAAGACGCTAAAACAACCACTTTCAGCTTCCCGCTGCTGACAACAGCTGAGATCAGTGCGCGTTGTTCTCGGCACCAATTGGATGCGATGTGGCGCACGACGATCCTCGGGCCGCAGGGGCGCACTCTGCACGGAAGTCCAAACGAGCCCCCCCCCCCAGCCCTTCATCATCTCACGTGGGAGAAGTTTGCCTCTACAGGTCATTGAGGTTAGGCACAATGAAAGTGTATTGATTTGGGCTCAAATAAACGCTCTTTGGCAAACGGCGTGTGAATGTGAACTGTCTCATTATGAACTCAATGAATTATTGATGATTTGTAATTGGATTGTGGCATTCAATCAGTGTGTTATCAATTTTAGAAATAAGACACTATATAATATACTTAAAGCTATGTTTTAGTTGTATTATGTTATAGTCACAACACAGATTTTTTAAATGATTTTCTTCACGATAGCCTTCTAATCACTAAGTTTGCGCATACATTACGACACGACCTATTGACTTTCGTCAACCCATTAAAAGCTTTCACTATTCAATAAGCAGCCCGTACATTTATATATAATATATAGGACCTTCCATTGACTCACATCTATAATGCTACGTCAAAAATGTGGTTTTTCAAAGCATGAATTTCATTATATAATCTGGAGAAAAAACAAAAAGGTGTGGAAATGGAAACAACAAGCAGCTGCCACCTGTAGAACGCGGAGGGGATGTGAACTCGGCAGTGCACCACAAGAGGGCAATATATGAGCATAAAATAAAAAGTCACAGATAGAATGCAATACAAACAGCAGTGTAAAGTTCACCTCAGTATCGGTGTAGAAACATCTTGGCCCCTCAAATCAATCAATCATTTTCTATGTACCTACATGCCGAAGCAAATCAAACAATTCAGTTGATTTAAATTTACGTATAGGTGAAGTCTATCTTTATGATATAGGGCGTCTCTACCAAACAGCTTTGGTTCAGTCCTCTCCGACCAGCCCGGTTGTGATCAGAACACATAAGGACAAACAATTGCTGATGGGATGGTCCTG